AAATCAGAGAAGGCTGTGGTCCAGTAAAAAAGATGTGCAAATGAACCCAGATGGGTTTTGGAGTAAAATACAGTGCTTGTGGCAGGTATAATTTTGAATGATTTTGTGCTTCCAGAGGCTGTCTTGATTAATTCTATTAAAATATGTATACAGGGGGCCTTTCTTGTCAACATATAGATAAAGAAACTGGAGACGAGTAGCTTCTGCAAAGTCATGGGCAGAACCTGGGATCAGAAGTCAGCAGGTTGATTTGTCTGCCTCAGCTCTGCCTTTCCTCCACATAGACCTCAATGGGACTGCTTGCTTGCGGCTCCCTCTCCAGTAATTTACAGTGTAACAATGTACAAAACACCTAGAGGTTTTGAGATATAATTTTTTTAAATAAAAGGCTGGGGTATACAGTGCTTGTCTAGTAAGCACAAGACCCTGGATTCAATCTCTAACACTACAGAAAAACTATCTAAAATATTAAAATATTAAATTTTAAAATAGTAAAAATCTTAACACTGTCATTTATTCCTCCATGGAGGATTGGTTCAGAGAACTACTCTCCCCAACCACAAGAAAATCTGAGGATGCTCAGATTTTGAATGTCCCAGTAGCCTCTTGTACTGGGGTCTGGATTTTCAGTAGAGACCTCTGACATCATCAGTGGAGGAATCTCTTGATGGATTCATGATTTGATGGCAGTGGGGAGTGGTGAAGACCCTGGCTGGATGCAGTAGGCCCCTGGGAGCATATCCTTGCGGTGGTATCTGTCCTTGGCCCCTTCCTGTTAGCCTCTTTCTGCTTTCTGGTTGTTATGATGTGAACTGAGCTGCTCTGTCATATCATCTTTACCATGAGGGACTGAAACCTTTACAACTTTGAGCTAAAATAAGTCTTGTAAGTTGGTTTTGTCAGGTACTTGGACACAGTAATGAGAAAAAATAACTGGTACAATGGTGTGGTATTTGCACATCCCTCCTGTACTTTACATCATCTCCAGATTCCTTATCATACCCAATGTATTGCAAACGTCATGTAAATAGTTGTTTTATTGTATTTTTTAGGGAAAAGTGATAAGAAAAAAACTCATACATATTCTTTATAGATGTAAACTTTCCTTCCAATACATCAGCCCATGGTTGCTTGACACCATGGATCTGGGTATGAAGGGCCAACTGTATAGACAGTTGGATAAACTTAAAATTAAAATGAAGAAAAATAACAAATACCATAATTAAATATGGAATGTATTTATGCTAGAGATATAACTTTAAAGTGTTAAGTATTTAATATGAAGTAGTGTTTCAAAAGGCATAGCTGCCTCAATGGGATTCCCTGGCACCACGAGAGAGAAGACCTTCAAGATAGTATTTCAAGGACATCCTTGTGTATGCTACCACTGAGCTGCACCTCCAGCCCTCAGTTTATTGAGATAGGGTCTCACTACATAGTTTAGACTTGCTTTGAACATGCTACACAGCCCAGGCTGCCCTCAAATTCCTGAGCCTCCTACCTCAGCCTCTGGAGTTTTGGGATTATAGGCAGACACTCTCAAGCCTGGCTGGTATGTGAAGGTCACCTGAGCCCACTCCTGGGGGTGGCTACTCCCCTCAGGGTGCGTTACCTCCTCCTTTTGGATGACTCGGATCCTGGTCTTGATGTAGGGGAAGGCATGCATGGTGGTGAGGACAGTGTTCCTCTGGTACTGCTCATGTAGCTCTCCCCGAGGCCGCCCCTCCAGGGTGAAGGGAGTGGTGTACATGAACCTCCGAAGGTTGAAATTCTTCTCGAAGTAGGTCACCCTGTCTTTCATCTCATACCCATCAAAGTAGGGCTCAACAAATGTGATCTGTATGTAGGCCTGAGGGAAAGGGGAGGGGAAGGAAAAGATGAACCATTCAGCCAACAAGATTCATGGCGCCTGGAGGGGCATGCTGGGACACAGCCCAGCCCTCCTTTCCAATCTGTGCTGAATGCCTCAGGCCAGAATTCAGAATCTGCCCTTTCTCCTCACCACCTCAGAGAGTGGAGAGGACCTTGAAGTTGGGGAAGAAAATATACCTCAGGGAACAGGCAGATGCTGCTCCCTGCTGCTCCCTCTAAAAGGCCTACAGAGGCCTCAGCATGAGAGTTTGCAAACTGCCCTTCCAAGAGGCAAACCTTCCTTTACAGATTTGCTATGATGAAGACATGCTTGCTAGAGAAAAGAGATAGTACCAAGTGTTTTTAAGGATGGGACAGTTAGAATGGTCATATAATCATGGGGGAATACAAAATGTATGGTCACTCTACAAGTCTGGAGCTCCTTATGCAGCTAAATGACATCCCCACCCAAGAACCCCACTGCCACCTGTGTGACTCTTGGGTTGGATGTGATTATTGATCTCTTGAAATAGAGAATCTGTCTGTGATCACCCACATGAGGCCCTTGTGGAGAAAGAAGGAAGGTCCATGAAGTCTCTCCCTTCCCCGCACCCCACTCTTTTCCTCCTGTTGGCCCCGCCTCTCCACAAGGATATATATCTCTTGTCTCTATATTTATCTACCTGTCATCCCTCTCTCTCTCTCTCTCTCTCTCTCTCTTTCTCTATCATCTATCTCTATCATCTATCTATCTATCTATCCATCAATCAATCAGTCATCTATCTTCTACCTATCTATCATCTATCTAATCTATGCTGTAAACAATTGCAGAGAGAGGAGGAGGTCCCTTGAGTGATGTAGCTGCATGGACTATTTACTGGTGGTACCCATGTTCCTGTAAATAATCCCAATAAACTAGGTGATTCACCAAGCTACACTTAAGACAGAATCTTCTCTGCTCTGTGATAGACCTCTCTATCTGGGGTGAACTAAAATAGACTCCTCGGGAAAATCACATACTACCAAGAAAAATGAAAACTTACATTCATGCAAAAACTAATAAGCAGTGGTTTAATCACAATGTTTTTCACAATAAACAAATAGAAAACAAAGTCTTTTTGGTGGGTAAACAATAAACAAAATGTGGTACATCACAGACCTGAATACTACTCAGCATAAAATGAAAGGAACTATTACAACATGGGTAAATCTTAGATGGTGTACACTGAGCCAAAGAAGCCAGTTTCGAAAGGCTGCATGCTTCTGCAGGCACACCTGGAAAGGCAGCTCTACACAGAAGACAGCCAGGGGCTGCTGGGGGCTGACAGCAGAGATGACAAAGGAGCCTGGGAAATATTTCAGACTGATGGAATGGTTCTGTATCTTGACTGTGGTGCTGGTGGTTACATACATTTGTAAAAATGCATAGAACTGAACACTAGTGAGTGTCACTGCATGCCTCATGTAAATACACACACAAACACACACACACACACACACACACATGCTCATTAATGAAGATGAATTCTTTAACAACACAAGGAAGAGGAATGGACAGGAGCAGTGTGACACCCGCCCAGTGGGGAGGACCCGAGGGTTGGTCACCAACCTTACCCTGTAAATCATGTTTTTGAATAATGAAATCTGGTTGTGATCTTGGTTAGGACTCTCACAGCCTACCTTGGGGATTTTAAGATAGGGGAGAGGCACTTGGGTTGTGCTCAGATCACTGTGGATACACAGCCAATCCTATCTTCCAGAACTCGAAACATTTCCATTCACCTCTTACCAAAGTGATTGCTTTAGGCTTCAGCTGAGGAATGTTTCTTAAATGAGTAAGTGTTCTGACAAATGAAGAAAGATAAATTTGTGTTTGGCTGGTTTCTCTCTATCTGCATCATCTTCATTCTGTCCTGGAAGACAGAACTGAGGGACTCACATGAAGAGGGCCCTTTCTCCCTGACCTTGCCCTCTGTATAGCCATCATCGTACAACTATAACGAGAACTATGGTACTGTTGTGAGGTT